AAGATGAAGGCGCAAAATAATTCTAGTGATACTGGTATGTCTTCGGAAGAAAGTAATGAAGTAGCTCATAAAGAAGATATAGAAAATCGTGAGAATATAGACCCAAATATTACCCAAAATCCTAAAACTTCTTCCATGGACGAGGGCGAGGTTGCCACCAACAACAGGTTGCAAAGGTTGCTTTCAAGTAAAAATTCTAATGTCAACTTTTGGCCTATCACTAACAAAAAAGAAGATAAATTAGAAGTGTTCAGGGTGGAAAACAGAGATGGTGCCACTAAACCTAAGAAGGGAGTGACATTTGCTGAAGTTTTGGAAGAAGTTACTACTTTTCATTCTAGTGATGTTATTGGAAAGAAGTGAACTATGTTTAAGAGTTATTTATTTCTTTTTTTAAGTTTTTTTCATTTTTGTGTACCGTATTGTTTCAATTTTAAATTTATAAATTTGGAGTTTATTCAAAAATTACAGTGTTCTTTGAAAATAAATAAAAGTTAAATGAAAAGTGTTTTATTAATAAACCAATAAATTAAATACAAATTGAATACTATAAGCTTTTTTCGAAATTAAATGAAAAGTGATGCACATTGTATTTTTATAAATTTATTCAGTGATAACCTAAAGCTTAATTGTGAACATTTAATATAGGTTTGGAACATACTCTAGAAACTTTGGAGATTTTTTTCTAAATTGTAAAGATTGTAAATAATAAAAAAATTGTATATACTTAAATTTATTTAAAATATTTGTAGAATTTAGTATCTTTTGTGGATTACAAGAAATACATTCTTTAATTCTTCATTCTTTAATAGTAGAATTATCAAGATTTTTGCCTTATGATAACAATTATATAATTTGGTGGAAATTTGACATCAAAGCTGTCTGATTTCGGACTTGGCGGTGGCTGGCTGACAGTAGTGATTAGATTTTTCTTGATTATGGATCTTGAATAGGGTATTAAGAGAAATTCTGTTGGGGCTTTTTGCAATATATATTCCAATCATTATTAGAAATATATATATTATCTGCGTATCGTCATATATTTATATCTACTTTTAATTACAATATACAAGTGCAACTAAATGAAAGCGCAACCAGGCATATTTTCATAGTGCCCACAGTCGACTCAAGTGTATGTTGAAGTGTTTGCGTATGCATATCAAACATGTCAACTAAGAAAGTCAGGAAATAACCTTAAATAATATGTTTTTTATTAATTTATATATTCACAGCATCAGAAAAAAAATTCAAAGGGTTCAGAGATTACACAAATAAAATAATCGAAAAGTTCTTATGTCTACCCGCTTGTATCAGAATACATGTGCAAGTCATAGGTTGCGCAATTATAAAGTATCGTCCGTGGCTTTAGGACAGTGCCTGTTTTTGCAGCACAATATTTCAAGTGGTCAAACATCTATATTCAGAATATTAGCTATCTCCATTATTTTTCCTTCTTCACTTGAATGCCTTACTTTTACCGTATCAATCCATTATCATCCAAGCAGTTTCTGTATATAACTAGATTGCATTAACGCTTCTGCAACCGAGGATATTCTTTATCTTCATTTCTCGCCTGCAAATGTGTTTTCCATCGAACGGAACAAATAGGTTTCGCCTCGTTCGATGAAGTAACCCTAGACAAGTATCGCTGTATCGCATTTCCAAATCACCACCCACTGTGCGGTTCCAATCCATGTTCCGAAGTAGAAGTACTTTTAGAGATTCTTTTCTGCAACGATGGGATGAAAAATTATTATTGTAATGCGATATTGGACCGCGTAGAAAGCTCAGAAAGCTCGTTCGGTGTTTGAGAATGTGTGTTCATAAATCTCATTTGTTACTATGTAGGCAAAGTTGTGAATGGAAATATAAGAGTTACTTCTATAATTATGTTTTGACTTATATATGATTGCAATAAACAGTCAACCCTTTGTTAACGCAGCGAGAGCGAACCGTGCTATAAAAATCTCGGTTTAACATTTTTTTCAGACTTATTCCTAGTATACTAAATATTATATATATATATATATATATATATATATATACTAGATGACCCGACAGTGATGTTAAATGTAGAACTACTTCAAATAAAATGATTTTCAATTCCCACAGTTAATACTTTAATTATCCCTTTAACAAATATTAAAATATGTTCAATAAAATTGTATATGAAAATAAAAACACTGCAATTTATAGAACAAATTTATTTCCTATAGCTCAATTTATTTCAATGCCAAAGGTCATACAATTTTTTAGTCATACCTGTAGATGTGGATGTATAAATTGAATGATTTTTTGTTTATTCACGACTAAAACATTGATTTTCCAAATTTATCATACAAAAAATCATCGTCAGCCTTTGTGATTTATGGTCATAGCATAATATACACATGTTGAAAATTGAAGTCTTTTAAAAGGTATAACAAATTCAGAAAGAATTAATATATAGCATTCGCGGTAAAGGTACAATAACACCTTGAGCTTTTCTACCCAAAATAATTGCTCCAATAATGTTGCCTATTATTTTTATAATTTCGTACCATATTTTAACTGGCTTTCAGTAATTTTAATATCTAAATTACATTTTTCTCACCAATAATTCAGTATACATTATCATTTATGTTCATATTTGAAGTAAATTAATTCATCAAATTATCTTCACATGTGCTCTTTTCAACCTACGATCAACAAAATTATTGCAGTAAATGGAGAGGAAAAAACGCATGTCGGAAATACGCTAATTTAAAAATGAAAAAAACATTGCAAGCGTCTTTCATCTGCATGATAGCTTACACATTTTACACACAGAAGTACTCATTTTAAAGCTTATATTATATTTTAATATTGCCTTAGCCTACAAGTGAATGGAAATGTTTGGCAAATGACAGTCTTCACTTGTTTTTAATGTCAAACAAAGCTTCAAATATTTTCAAGGTCAAACAATGATAAGCGGTGATTAATATATTTTTTGTAATTCTTTCCATTTATTTCTACAATCTAACTATATTTCTATGAATCTGAAAATTCTAGAAAATTTTCCGAACAAACTTCTGGAAGATTCATGAAAGTCCGAATTATAGTTTAGGAGGATTAACCATTCATACATAGTTACAGAAGAATTTTATATATATATATATATATATATATATATATGTGTGTGTGTGTGTTGTGTGTAGTTCCTGTTTATGCGCACTTAAACACAATCGTCCATTATTTGAAAATATAGCTGCCATTACATTTAGTGGCATTATATCGGGCGTTTCTACGGGCAAAGATGTAATCTTATCTGGTGTTTGTCGTGAATTTTGTGTCATCAAAAGACAAGACTCTCGTTCATCTTTGTTACGAAGTAATATAATCGTTTTAAGGATAGCACTAATGGAGGCTCCCCGGAGACGTGCTCTAAATAACGTCACGAATTCTATAGCAAACGGGTACTCCGCCAAACGCATTTGCGTTCAATCACAAAATCACCCGGTGATTGATGTATTTGGCGCCGGGGATTGCTGAATAAATATTTATGCGCGGTTTGAATTACATCAAATGCAGGATTTACGGATCATCATTTGCACGTAATTGAAAAATATAATTGGAATAAATTAATCTTAAGTTTTTGTTGCTTATTACTGAGACGATATATACGTCAGTTTGAACAAATTTTTTATCACTCCAACCCGATTTTGTTTTTTATCTCGACTCCACTGTATAAACTCTATGTATCCAGTAGTCAAATATCTTTTTATGCCTTTCTTCCGCATCAGAGACGTCCCACAAAAGCTGCAAGATCTCTCTGTATAAATCTAGCCTAGCGCGGACGCGGTGCAGATTAGCGAAGTTCCCCGGACCGATAAATTTAGTTTTCTCTCATCCGGTTAAGTCTGATATGGGATGAGGAAACTACCCACTTAATAAAATATTACTCGGATTTTCAGAACTCTCTGATTATCTCGCACTTTTAAGAAGTTTCTTATGAAAAAAATGAGATTGGCTTTTGTAAATTTCCTACAAGATGGAAGATGATCTCGACGTTTTGCAATTTACATAATTGTTCGGGAGAATGAATTTAAATTATTTTATCTTGTAATGTGTATTTAATCAATTTGATATATATATATATATATATATGTATTAGTAATCATTGCATATTGCATGACCAACTTCACAGCCTGCATTCACAGAGCCATTTATCTAATTGATACTTACAACTACTTATTAGAATATATAAATATATATTTTAGAATATGTAATTGTGAAAACGAGTATGTTGAGTCAATAAATAGCACTAAGTAAAAAAAACAAAACTATAGCAATGAGGAAATCAGCTTTATTAATCCATACGTTTCGGTCTTCATCGTGATTTGTGATTCAGTGGAAAACAGGGATGTTTTAATAATTCAGAAGATAAAAATAGATGTAATGAACTTAAAAATAGGTACTTACACATAAAAACAATTTAACACTACACTATTCTAATTAACACAATCGTAACACCAAGTAGTTTACATATAAAACGAATTATGAATTTGAGTTAAAAAAACTAATTTTGTGTACATTAGTTGTTCTAAGACTGAGCGCTGAATGAATTGTGTTCGGTGAGCATTGTTTTATTTTAGTTCTTATTCTGTTGAATTATTTATATGATGAGAAATCATTTTGTGTAGATTTTGGCTAGTTTTGTCTATATAAAAATCGTCGCAGTTTAGACAATTCAATTTATACACTAAATAACTTAAGATTTTCGGAAAGAATTTAAAATATAATTATGTAAATAAGGTTGAAAGAGTGTTTTCAGAGATAAAGACTACTCCGATCGACTCTGATATTATGTACAACAAAGATTTTTTTTTATACGTAGTAAAGATCATTTATAAAGGGCAAGGTTATAGTTCCTACATAATTTTTGCGGTTTTGATTTTCAGTTGATATTTTTTGCGGTGTTAATATATATTTACTTAATATTAAATAACTATTTCCTGATGTTATTTTTTGTTTTGTTTCAGAGACCGCAAAGAACTGGTGACGGATTGGATTTAAATCAGGTAAGTTTCATTTATTTATGAAATGTTTCTTATCCTTAACTTACAAATTTATTATAAAATATGTAAAAGATATATTACAATTATAATAATATATCGACCCAATTTAAAACATCGACCAATTCAGAAAAGCAAATCGATTTTTATACAGAATTCACAAAATATTTCAATTATTTGTTAAACCTTTTATTAATTTTTAAATTTTAAAGTACGAAACGAACATCATAATCCCGTGTTAATTATAAATAATTTATAATTGTATTTTATATCTTTTTTTGTTCAAAACGCGTATCAAAATGTATATAGAAATTTACATGCTCTGATAAAATTAGAACGGAATACTAAATATTCAACAATCCAAACTAATATTTTACCGAATCAATATACGCACAGGTCGTGCAATAAATCTTCCCAATTTCGTATGTTCACATTGATTTATAAAACAAAATGTCAAACACGCGTATAATTTTTTATTTTTCAATACAAATATTATTCATTATTCTTGTCTGCTACTGTTAAAACTCTATTGATGTATACTTTTTAAATATGCAAACATAATTAGAGGTGACACATTTTGTGCAATATATTTGCGTTATCTATGTAATAAAATTTCATGCACATATGAAATCGGAAACGTAGTACAGGGTTATAAATATTTAAATGAAATCTATGTACGCCCATGTGGTATATGCAAATGTAGTTGCGATGCCCTGGATTAGAATGCAGCTTGCAGAATTGTCCTAATTACGAGGAAAATAACAAATATATTGTTTAAAACTTCAATAAGTGTATATAAAATTTTATTTTATGCATTTGAATTTCCAATCTTCTGCTTCCATGATTCCTGGTCTTGTGCTTTGGTTTTCAGTTCCAAGTATTTTCTCATCTCTTCTTTTTAGTCCTTGTAGTTCTTTTTTTGCCTTCGCCGACATGTAGAAGGTTCTCTTCTTGCAGAATGGGTCCAATCCAGTTTTCTCTTCAGTATTGATCGTACTCAATAGAGTCTTTCCTTTGCCCAATCTTCTCAGGACTATTATGCTATATAAATATATTTCTAAATTCCAAAAGTTGGTTTATATTTAACTTTTCAAATTAAATTTAGTTTTATGAGGGCCATTATAAAAGTTGAAAATGTCCACAGCCAGTTTTAGTGCGTATTAGGATAAACAATATATCAAGCAAAAGAAATAAAAATTTACAACCGAAAGCATCTCGAAACCGTCTGCCGACAGATGATTCAAGTGTAATGAAACATCAAAAGCTTTTAGTAGCAAAGAATAAACGTCTGCCAAGAAAAATATTATGACGTTTTAACGGGCATCGAGGGGGTGCAAAGGGTGAGTCCTGCAAAGCAAATAGTACGCGCGGAAAGAAAAACAACTTGATATAAAATTTCCTATTGTTTCATATAAACCGTGTTGCGCTTTTCTTATGATTTTCCCGGTTTTCTTATTCTGCTTTTGTTCGCGGTGTTTGTTTTGCCAGCTGCCCGACGTCGTTGTTTTCAAGACGGTTTCTTTTTTCGTTGCTAGTTAGAGCTCGTGTAATGGTTATTAGAGAGATCTCGTGATGAATTGTAATGTATATTTTTATATACAGCTTTAGTAAGGCGCGCGTGAGAAAACAATATCTTATTACGGGTATCAATTGAAACAATGGAAAACAAGCTGAGTGTACTTAATCCGGGAAAAAACTTATTTCTATGTACCACGACAAAGGAATTATTTCAAGTAGAATAACTGCACTACGGATATTTATACTTAGGTGGGCGTGAGATGAACTTTCATGACGACATTGGGGAAAACACATGAACAATACTAATTTAATTATAACATTATTCTTTTACTATGAGGAGTAAGCTCTAGCAAAAACCACGGCATTTTTAAGTCTTTATTTTTTTACTGGGATTTTTTTAATTATAAAATTATCAAGTATTATACCATATTGTATTATCTGAATGGAATGCGAAAACTTGTCAACACGTCAACTTGCCAAGTGTAGTCTTCTCTGTTTTTCTTTCCCCTTTCGTTTTTCACAACTCCTCCCACTCCTTCATTACACGTGTTGACTACACTGCGTTGTAACCTTGATCAGTGTCCACAATGCAATGCTATTAATAACTGCTCCCTCTATTTCGCGTTTGTTAATATAATAGTATTTTATTATTTTACACAAATTTAGTGTTCAATCAATTTTACATCATAATTAATTTTTTCTGTTGTTTTTCCTGGTTTGGTATGTATAATTTTCTCCTTTTTATGTATTTATATTTATCATCAACTTTGTATTTATGTTATATGTTTTTAGATTACTGAATGATGACACACATCAAGTGTCGAAACGTTTATGGAATAAATAATTTTGTTATTTAACCTTTTTTTAATTCGACGATTGGATTGCAAAAATATTATATATATATATATATATATATATATTCTTTCTCAGATTTTATATTATTCTGTATCATTGTGTATCATTTCCATAGATCCCCACTTCTGTTAACTTTATTCATTAATCCGCCCATCGGCCCATACATCATTATCTGCAAAAGTACATAAATACCTTTACGCACACACAATACACATTTTTAAAGTCATGTTTGTTCAGGTTCTATAACCTTACGAATAATTCATTACAGCCCCCAATTTAGGTGAAGGGCGCTTTGTCAGTCCAATGTTTAGAATGTAATACAATCCGGGATAATCCTTGCACAAACAAGCAGTACTGTTTTCCTCCGGCCTAAGGATATCTGTTTTCGTTTGTTAGTCCGACCCTTTAAATGACCCCGTGGACCCGATGACCTCTGAAACAGGATAGTATGATAAACAGGACTCTGATTTTCTACAAAAAAATACAAAAAATTGTATCAAGTGCAAATGAATCAAATACTAATTCTACCTTAGTTCAACTCACTTTTTTGGCTATTTCATATACTGAAAGATTAAATTAATATAATCTTATTACAATTTTATCGAGTCTTGGGATTGTCATTGAAAAATTTTCTAGGTTTTGGATTATATTGCATAATAACCTATAATGTTAAAGATACATCTTTACATTTTATGATATCTTGGAAACCTTGGTAACGCAAATGAAGAGTAATGCCAAGTATAAAATAATCGATAAACCTCATCTAATCCTCCTTAATCTTTAAATCCGTGATAAAAACCTGTACATAACATTTTAACAAGATTTGCATTAAAAACATGTTAACTTCCCGAAGGAGAAGTTTGTTTTATCAAAAATCCGATTCGCTAATTTTATGTTTTCTCGACGTTCCAAGCCATTCTGAATCTAATGTGAACAAATTTGGAAAGAAGTGTGTGTGTGTATGTGTGAATGTAAGCAGATTTTTTACCCTTTCGTCAATGTCCAATGGTCAGGCAGTGGATCACATGAAATCGTTCTCCAGTAGTTAGATTTTTGAAGACAACAATGGTATGAATCTAATATTATCTTCAACTCATGAATATATGTTACTGTGACAACCTTATCGATGCTTTGTTAAATTCGGTCCTTTATCCAATTCGTCCCTGTGTTTGCAAACGAAATTTGTAATGCTTTATTTCGACCGATGGCCGAGATGGTCAGACAGTGGATTTTGTTCCGCTAAGTAAGCTGTCCAGACCTTCGTCAGGGATCATTTGTTTACATCTACACTGACAGCTGAACTTACTTCGAGAAAACGGTCATTTGTTTTACAGGGAGCTTTTACAGTTACGTCCAATTCTTTTTTGTTTTACATTTCTAATATTGAAACAGCACGGATCAACATTATTTTGTTGGAGAAAGGATTAGATATCAAACCTGGATGATCTGAATGAAAGATGGAAGATTAAGATTGCCTGACACATGTTGAAAGCCAAAGCGATAACTGATCATTGACTAGTTTAGCAATTAAAACTATATAATTTTCACTGTAAAAATTCTGTCATTTTTGACCATAACTCCTAATTCAAGCTTGAACACAAATCTAAAAAACCTGGCACCTTGCATCTGGCCACGAAATTAACTTCTCGTTTTGGATACATCATTAGTCTCCTTATGATTCTTCGTTTTAGAACCACATTTTCTGGCACAAACTTAAAAAATGCATGTTGCATTTAAATGCAAAGAAACTTAAATATATAATAAACTACTTTTGATCTAAATGTTGCCAAAAAATGACAGAATTCAGATTTTCCGTTCATATGTGCATCTTTTTGCAATCAGCCGAGTGCGCAAGGGGACCATAACTCTACCCAAAAAACGTCTTCAATGTATGTCATGGGAATTCGATTGTGCTCGAGTAAATGATTTTCACCAAGCAGATTCTATATGATTTCTTTCAAAATGAAACGTTTTCTATCAGCATAAATGTGTTATATGAGCTTCTTGTTAGGTTACAGATACGTGGAATAATACAGATTGTGGAAAATGTTCGATTAATGACTAACTGGTTAAATTTTTGGGGACTTAATAATCCCTTTGGGGAATTATTAATTTAAATATTTTCAAATTTGAAAATATAAATATAAACTAGTAGTGTATGACTTCGTGCTTTAAGGCAAATTGCTGGAACTTTCCATAAAGTTGTTCAGCATTGGAGGATAGAATGTTCGGTTAAGTTTAGCTTTGGAAGCTGGAACCAGTTCAATTCATTTATTTTAATGAAATGTATATTTTACAATAATTGATATGAAATAGAATACTGTTATTCAACGTACATCAGGTTAATTACTATCTGAACTATGGTAAAAAAATTGGCCTATATGATTTTTTTCCTGTAGTCTGACTAAAAATATGTATACGTTTTTTCATTTGTAGGCATGTTTTCGATACTCTCTCTATTTTGTGAACAACAATGTGAGAGTGTTTTTGACTTTTTCGCCGCTTCGTGTTTTCATTTATATTTCAATTTCAGTAACAGCCGCGCGTACTTTTTTTTTACTTCGATAAAACGATATCTGTTAATAAAGCGCCATTTGCTGCAGACATTGTAAAAGAAAGCTCTCTAAACTTAT